TTCCACTTTATTATTGCTTTCTGGCCCATGTGTGATAACGTCCTATGGCAGGATTTGTCCTCCCCAGTGAACACGGATGGAGTTCACACTCTGCCAAGGAAGAGATGAGGGTCCAAATAGGTTGGCTTAGGGGGGTTGCAGACTGCCAGAAATAGTGCAAATTGAGTCCACTTTTAGGGTTAGGGAATCATGGGAACTGTAGTTTATTGTGGCGCCAGAGCTCTCTGACAGAGAAGGCTCAATGTCTCAGAAAAAAAACAATTCCCATGATTCCCTAGCACTAACCCTAACCCTAAAAGTGGGCTCAATTTGCACTATTTCTGGCAGTCTGCAACCCTCTTAGATTGTCAGGTTGTCAGAGAAGGTGGCAAAAATAAATTCAAACTTGTATGCCTGATAACTTGTACAGGTGTAGTTGCCAGACCCAAAACATAGCTGGAGCAAGGAAAAGCTATGTCTGTTGGAGTTGTAATCTGGCATGGAAAACTGTGAGTTAATACGTAAATTTTAAGATGACAGTGTAAAGACCAGGAGGGTTATACTTTTCTGTGCAAGCCTATCACACAAATTCAGAATTTAATATCTGATTAAATCTTGTCTGGAAGTTTCAGGATTCTTGCCCATAAGAAACCAATCATGCAATTTCATGCATACCTACTGTGCCTGGGCTCTGGCTGGCTGTCATTATGCAGTCAGGGAAATACCATTGACTACAGCTGTAGAGATCAGGGTTCAGTTCCCCACTTGGCCATGGAAACCCACTGGGTGACATTGGGCAAGTCACACACTCTCAGTTCCAGAAAAACCTGTGATAGGTTCACCTTAGGGTTGCCATAAGTTGGAAATTACTTGAAGGCACACAACAAAGGAGATATCGAATACCTCCTTGTGCAATGTCTAAAAACACTTGCATTACACAAATCTCTAAGAGGATCCAGCCATGAATCACTTCAACATCTGTCTATGTGTTTGGTTGCCTTTCTCAGTCTGATGCCTTCCAGATATTTTGGGCTCAGATTTCCATCATCCCCAACTAGCAGGGCCAGTAGTCATAATGGCAAGGGATGTGGGAGTTTCAGTCCAGCACACCTGGAAGTTGGGTCACCAAGTTGAGGAAGGGTGAAGTATGACATATATCAGAAATGTGAAACATGTTGAACATGCACAAGCCACCTGTGCCAGAGAGAGAAAAGAGAAGGAATCCCATTTTGTTAGTAAAGTGCTGTTTGTCTGTGTCTCAACTCCTTTTCTCTTAGCCAGGGCTGAATTGAGAGGAAGATGTGGCAGGCAGGTCCCTGTCTTCTCTATTAGCACAATCCCCCTCAAACAGTGTAATGCATGGAAAGACAACCAGCTATGCTGGTAGAGGGAGTAGGGGATATAAAGTTGAGACCACTGGTTCAATCATTGACACAGCAGGAGAAAACAGTTTTCTGCCCTCCACTCAGTTGCCAGGGGCAACATTTGAGCCTCCAGGAAATTTTTGCATGCCTGCTTTTATATAGTAGCCACCTTCAGGATTAGCTCTTAATCCTGTTACTACAATCCAAAAGCCCCTCTCCCATGGTGGCCCAGTTTCTAGGAACTGTACATTCCACACAAGCTTTGCCAATCCTTTTGGCTGAGAACTTGGAAACTGGACTGCTGCTGATGACCTGTTCAGGCTTGCATCAAAGGCCATGGCATTTGTCTTGAAGGTCAGAGAACGTCAGAGAGCTGCTTCCCTAAATCCATTGAGGCAAAGCTCTTGGTCTCTGGGCAGCAATGATGGTAACTTTATTGTTGTTGAGCTCCTGGATTCTCATCCTGGCATTTCCAATGAAAAGTACAAAGCAGAAAGACTTCTGCCTGGAACAGTGCTGTTAAAGCAGGCAGTCCTTTGCTGGGCAGATAAATAGGCTAAAATTCTGATTATGACATATACAGGCATAACCTTTGATTATGTATAAATGTGTGTGTGTATATTTTGGGGGTGTTGTGGGAGAAGGTATGCCCTAGGTGTGCAATAGTAGCAATGAGAGGAGAGGTTGGCAAACCCATCTTAATCCCCTAAGTCACTTATCGGCTGTGGGATGCATATGGTCATATTCTGGCTGCCTTCATTCTCTCCGAGAAGAAAGAGAAGCCAGAATACCCCTAGGCTCACCCTGCTGCCAGTTGGTGACCAAGTAGACAGAACTGTATCCACAAGGCCCATTCCTGCCCCATGATGGCATCAGCGCACTGATGAAGTTTTCAGCCAATGTGCTTATGGGATTTCAGCCATAGTCTGACTTGTTATAAAGCAGGTGCCAATGTTCCTGTCCCTGTGGTGGAAAATCCAGTGAAATAATAGCATGAGTGCCTTCTACTGCTAAATGAGTCCAAGTTCTTTATCAAGAGAAAGGGAGTTGTCAGGATGGCCCTTGTGTTCTCTTCCAACTCTATGATTCTAAGAGCTACATTTTGCAAGCACAGTAAATTGTACAGATTATACATGTATGTATTTTGAATGATCTGTACTGCTTTTTCCTTAGCTGTGTTTGTTTCTGATATTTATGAGCACAAACAAGAAGCTATACTGGCTGAGGGATCATGAAAGTTGTTGTCCAGCTCATCTGCAGGACATCAGATTGGGGAAAGCTGGGTTATATTGTGCGGGATTGAACTGTTCTATGGGAATGTCATTGTATGCCACTGCTGGGGTATCAGTTTCCAAATCAAATGTTTTGAGACTTAAGTCTCCCCTGATGTATGTTGAAATTCTAATTAAAAAAAGAATGGTAATTAAATCTAAGCTCTAAACTCTTGACTTGCCTGATTTAGCAGTTTGAAATTGTGAAGGAAATCTCTCCAACCCATAATAATAGCCCTTTAATCTCCACTTGTTTTTGAAACTCCAGTTGCTTCAAGGGCAGCAGCTGAAAGTCAAGAATTACACAAAGGGGGAGAAAGGTTTGTGAACCTGGAAAGGTAACGATTGACAATGGCAAGAGATCACTCTGATAATCACATGCTGCAGTCCAGAACTTGGAGAAGTTACTTTTTTAAGATTATAATTCTCAGAAACCCAGCTCACATGGTTCTCGGAGTTGTATCCAAACTAACTTTTTGGAGCTCTGCTTTAATTCAACAAAAGTAGCCTACATGCAGAAAACACATGGCTCTTTTGGTTGTACAAAAGCTGGAGTGTGGGATTAACGGCAGCATCAACCATGGAGATGGCACATGTCTAACCACGTGGGTATAAATATTCCATGTGGGCCATTTCTCAGGCACTGGTTATTCATATGGCTCCACAATTTTATGTGCCAGTTTCCTTGGCATCAAGGACGTGTAAATAAGGAGTAGAATGGGGAAAGGAGAATATAAAGCAGTGAAGCAGTTTGGGGGGGGGGATTTTTTGGTGTTGCAGATGTTAGATTAGGAACTTCCCCATGTCTGATTATTGGCCATGATGTCTAGGACTGGAGGCAGGTTCTACATTCACATAGTAAAGTGGTGTGTGTGTGTGTGTGTGTGTGTGTGTGTGTCTGTCAGTTAGTCAGTCAGTGCCATTGTCAGTGTCATGTGTTTCTCCCAATGATATTGGACATGAATCCCCAGCTGTTCTTAGTATATCCAGTTGTGAATGCTGGGAGTTGCAATCTAGCAACATCTGGAGGGTTGCATGATCTTTGCCTATGTGGTAAAGGAAGTTAGTCACTCCACCATCATCAATATTATTACTATTGTCATAATCTTTACATCGTACCACACCTTTTTTTCTCAAAACAGGGAATAACTTTTCTCAAAAAGTTGGCTTTCAGATTAAAGGAAATACAGTGTTCCCACAGTTGGATGCACAGCAATGACAGTATCCTCCAAGACCTCCAATGACAGCATCCTCCAAAATCAGCTGGCTGATTTACCTCTCACTAATTCCTGGGAGGTCCCAGGAATTAAATTGTTGCTATACATGCAGCTATAGAAACATAGAGGTTATTCAGATATAATTTTTGTTAGCACAACTATGCAAATAATCTCATGCATTCCGGGTTTGTTGTTCACACTATTTTTTTATGGGAACCACATCTGTGCTCATCTGCTGCTCACATGTGTCAGCACTGTGAATAAAAATGGAGTCATTGAGGTGGATATATTCTAAACACATTGAAGGCATGCAGAGTTTTATCCGTTTATCCCAGGTCTATTCGTATCAGTTATTCACACAGCCAACAGTGCAAATCTTTTAGGAAAAATCAGAAAAAATCCTGACATTATCTTGGGATTTGTGGGGTTTTGGGTAGCCCCCCCCCAAAAAAAACACAAACCACTTTTGAAATGCATGTGAACAACAGATTAATCCCACATTCATTCATGATTTTTTTCAGTCTGAATAACCCCCTAGTCAGATGCTTTTCCACTGTCCATCCTGCTCTCCACCAGCCAGTGAATGGTGGTATTGAGGGAGAGAACTGCAGCAATTTAAAAGGTGGGGTGAGTGTGCTGTGTTATAGTTCTCACTGCAGGGAATTTTAAGTCTCCCAATTCAGGATCTTGGCTAAACTACTGTAGTTTGTGAAGTATTCCTGTTCATCCAATCTTTCCTTCCTCTGGAGTACACAATTTCTTCTCCCACTGGCTTTCAGTTTCCCATTTCACAGTCCATTTAGCATCCTGTGGCCGCTTAAGCATGCTTTGCCCTCACTCTGCACTTTTTGGGCTGTCCCACTCAGGTTTATTGGATTTCCACCCCCACACCATGGTATTTGTGCATTATAAGCTGGCTGATTTACCTCTCACTGAATGTGTGTGGTACTGTAATAGCTATAAAATCACCATCACTCACAACTTGAATGCTGAAAACATGAAATAACAATGGTAGAGAAAGGCTAGTGCCAGCCTGGATTAGTGGTTTGAGTGTTGGACTATGACTCTGGAGACCAGGGTTCGAATCCCAGCTCAGCCTTGAAACCCACTGGGTAACCTTGGGCAAGTCACATTCTCTCAGCATCAGGGGAAGACAATGGCAAGCCTCCTCTGAACAAATCTTGCCAAGAAAAACCCATGATAAATGAATTCAGCTTTAGGGATGCCATAAGTCAGAAATAACTTGAAGGCACACAACACACTCAGAGAATGGCCACTTGTCTCCCATTAATGATTTCCCCAGCAGGGAAGGCAAATAAATGCTCCATCCTAGGTTACCCTCTCAGCTCACATGGACATTTGTGATGATGCTGAGAGGCCCAGATAGTGACCAACTTGGAACAAGGGCTTATCTACTGTAATCCTAGAATCCTCCATAACATCTAAAATATCTTTGCTGAATGTGGTAATGTGGAAAATATTCCCTAAAGGTCAAGCATGTGAAGGCCACCTTACACACACCCCTCCCTACACACACATTTATATTCTGTTTGAGTGTGTGAATATGTGTCTTGTATGTGAGAGAGTGAGAATGAGAAAGAGAACACAATTATAGTCAAGGAAAAGACACCCATCACAGCACTACTGAACAGACAACGTATGATTCCCAAATATATATATTTTAATAACTTTTTCAAGGGCAATATTCTTAAATTACACAGTAAAAAGTGATTGGAAAACCCCCTCCACCTGCTACAGTTTTTCATGTTCATTAGCAATGTGTCACACAGGCACATCACGACTGTTTGGTTATTGTCAAATCTGTCATGAACAAAATCAGCTTGAGCAACTGGGACACACACATATTATAATGGAGTGAGCAGCGCCTTTTATTCTGATTTCCCTACAATGACACAGAATGTTCTGTCTTTGGGTATTTTAGGATTCTTTCACATAATATGAACATGTGCAAAATATGCTGTGTGAATTCAGCAACCTGGCAGGCTTGTTTTTCATTTTTCCAAGAACAAACAAAGCAACAAGGTTCTAGCCCTTTTGGCTACAGAGAGATGTTTGAGAATACATGGCCAATGCCTACTGAAGTTTCAGAAGACAGTGGGGAGCTGATCTGGACTTTATCGCAAAAGGACTATTTTAAACCCCCACCACTTGACGTACTTCAGGCCACACCACCCTTCAGGGGTGGGCAAAATGTAATTTGTGGGCTGCGTGCAGCCCCCCAGGATGGCTTTTGGGGGCAGCCCCCCAGGATGGCTTTTGGGGGCAAAACCCTTTTTTGCAGAGGGATGCAGGGGGGCTGCAGCCCTCCAAGATCTCCTGGGGATTACAATACCCTAACAGTGTCCCACCCCTACTTTATGGCAAAGGTCACATCTATTGGGTGTTTATATGCCACTATAATGAAATGTTTATATGCCACTATAATGAAAATACCCTTGTTTGGGGCTAAAAAGAAGCTAAAAAGAGCAGGGGAAGACAGAGGGTCTTGGAGATGGCTCATCCATAGGGTCACCATGACTCGAGATCAACTCAAAGGCAGCTAACAACAAAAAATAGGTGTATTGCAATGGAGTGAAGGTTGAAGAGGGGCCCAGGGATTATAAAAATGGCCTTTGATGGCCATGGGAGTCTGACCCAGTGTCTGCTATTCTCTACTATTAAGACAGCCATCATGGTTTAAATGTTGGGCTAGGGCTCTGGCAATCAGGATTCGAATCCATACTTGGCCATGGAAACCAACTGGGTTATCTTAGGCAAGTCACACTCTTTCAGCCTCAGAGTGAGGCAAAGGCAAATCTCCTTCTGAACAAATCTTGCCAAGAAAACCCTGTGATAGTGTCACTATAAGTCGGAAATGACTTGAAAGGCACACAGCAACAACACTTATTACACTATTACCACTCTACAGTGGTCAAGTGACTTGCAAGTAACCAAGGTCATGACAGCTCTGCATCTACTTTTAAAAAAAAACCTTCCTTGCATATTGAATGAACTGTGTCTTATCTTTGAATTTAACTAAAACAAAGAAAACTGGACAATGCACAACTCTTGAGCATAGCGGCACTAGCACAGGAGGTAACATTAGCAGCAAGCAAGCTTTCTAGCATAGTATATTGCAATATGATGTTTCTTTGGTGGGGAGGGACAGGATGAAGCCACTGATTGATTTGGAATCAAGCTGACTTCTGCCCATTGATGAAAAAGATCCCTTGTACATCATCCACACCAATCTTCAGGCTTGGTGGCATAGAGTAGGAGTGGAAGTCGTGGATGCGATAGCCAGCCTTGATAAAGGATTCTTTGATGTCTTCTTCCTTCATGGGTACAACTGACAGTTTAGCTTCTCCAGCCAAGTAGAAGGACTCTTCCAAACCCCCAATCATAAGGAAATGGCCACCAGGCTTGAGGAGGGTGGTGACGTTCTGAAGGGCTCGATCGAAACTTGGTCGATCTGGGCTCACAGCCTCGATGCAGAAAGTAGAGATCAAAGCATCAGCGGGTTGGCTGAGCACAAAACCTAATGGATTGGGTTGGTGGACATCAATGGGGAGGATCTTCTTGAGCTTCTTCTTGAGCTTCTGCTCTTTCTCTTTCCAGGGTTCCCTACAGAAGCCAGGAGAAAAATAGAGAGGCAAAGTCAGGCTGGCTGAGGATTCTTGGAGCTGTGTAAAAAAAGTAACTAAGGGCCTTTGCAGACTGCCAGAAATAGTGCAAACTGAGTCCACTTTAAGGGTTAGGGTTAGTGCTAGGGAGTCATGGGAATTGGTTTTTTCCCCCTGAGACATTGAGCCTTCTCTGTCAGAGAGCTCTGGTGCCACAACAAAATACAGTTCCATGATTCCCTAACCCTAACCCTCAGGACTACATTGCCATTTCCTCAGTCAATATTTCTTCTGGTTTCTCCATACACAATCAAAGCACCAGGACTTGGTGAATAGTATGGGTTTATGGCATCATCTGTTGCTGCTACCACTACCCAGGCTTCCCTGTTCTCTGTGATCCTATTGGCCAGGGGTAGGCAACCTTTCCCCTTTAAGGGCCAAGGGACTTCAGCTCCCAGAATCCCAGGAGCTATTGGCCAACATGGGACTATTGGCCAACATGGCTGAGGCTTCTGGGAGCTGAAGTCCCTCGGCCCTTAAAGGGGAAAGGTTGCCTACCCCTGCTATTGGCAATCCTCAAAGTAGCTGGGGAAATGTGAATGGATCTTTCCCAAAACAATATATTGTGATCTAGTCCTGCTTTAATGCAAAACATTTTGAGGTGACTTGTCTTGCAAGGACAGTTAAATAGCCACTAGGTTTACAAAATACCTGCTCCTGGTGGTGATTAAAACTCTTAGGAGTGGTTTTTGAGTATGAAACAAAACAGCTACCTGAACTGTTGGATTCTCCTTGGGGCATGGCTATGGGGACTGTCATGAGCAGCCCCTGCATATTCTTCAACTGTCCCAATTTTGACAGTCCATATTGCTCTTCTGTTGTCCCACTTTTACAGCTGCTTTTAAAATGTTGCAGTTTTTCTCTCTTCCCATTTCCCCCCTTTGTCCTCAGTTTACTTCAATTTCTTAAAGTGACTTCAAAGCACAAAAGTAATTTGCACGTAGTTAACTCATCACAGGGGAAAGGAAAGGAAGGGTGGAATCTTGCCCTTCCCAGTAGATTTAGGCAAAAGCAAATGGCTGCATCCACTCCTAGAAGAGTGTTCTTCATTAATAACTTTTGCCTTCTAAAACACACTCTTCTGTTGCTTGGTGACATGTGTCTTGCTCTTTATCTATGAAATACTGGAAGGCCTATCCCTGCATTCATGATTTACTACTACATCATTGAATTGATGGTAGATTAGTCAGGTAGCAAGCTCCTGGATAATCGCCATAAGAGGAGGTGTTTGGAATACTGTGGCAGAACAGGGAGGCAACATAGTTCTACTCTTGGACTAATGAGAAGATAACAATACTGCTGACCTAAGAATGGGCACTGCAACTCCCACAATCCCTTACCAATTGGCCATCTTGAGTGGGGCTGATGGAAGTTTTAGACCAGAACATCCAGCGATCAAAGTTTCTCGAGACCAATGCTAAATGATAATGTGGTATGTTTGGAAGTTATGTAGGGGGCTTTCAGCTCCATGAATATAGTGGCCTTCTGGAGGCTGTGGCTAGAGTCAAGTGGCCCAAAAGCAGAGCTTCAAAAGGTTAATTTATAAATTGCAACTCTTGGAATGCCCAGAATCCTCCTTTGCCCAAAAGTAACCAAGAAAATGAATTAACCTGCTTATCATGCTGGCCCTGGAAAGCATATTCTTAACGCAGATCTAAAAGTTACCATATATATTCGACCATAAGTCAACCTCACATATAAGTTGAGGGCAGGTTTTGAGGCCAAAATTATGGATTTTGATATGAACCGTGGATATATCGAGCGTAAAACCTAGGGGTATGTAACAAAGGATCTAAAAGATGAAGCAAAGGAAAACAATCACCAGGGGATGGTTCCTTTTTAAATAAGAGTTAAAATACAGTACTTAAATTGGCCCATGAATAATAAGTCAACTCAGTTTTTTTGGATCAATTTTTTAAACTAAAATTTCTAGACGTATACATGTGTATATACAGTAGTAGACCCTTTGAGCATGCATTCCAAGACACAGCCCTTCTGCTGATTAGTGGGCCTGAGAGAACAATTTTAGGAAACCCTCCTCCCCTGTGTCACATAGCCCTTTGAAACCTGGTATCGCCCTCCTTTATTTCTTACCCTTTGCCCTCAATCTTACAGACATGCTGGATATATGGGGACCAGTCAAAAGCCCCTGGATCGTCGCCATGCACCCAACTGTGGATTTCACCCCGGTTCACTTCCAAGTAGTCAGTTGCCACAATCTCCTCAAAGAAGTCACAGGCACTGAGGAGCTGGTAGATGGTGGGGCCTGAGCCTATATCAATAAGAGTCTTGCCATGGATTTTCCCTGCAGAGGATTCACAGGGGGAACAAAGTAAAATGTGCTCATGTCATGACAGACCATTTCACAAGGACCAGAAAAGTGTATTTCAGAATATAGGCTGGAAACAGCAAGGGG